TAGGCTTCGAGGTGTTTTTCCCCTTCAGGGTTTGCTTTCACAGAACCTCGGACATTTTGGGGCTTACATCTTCTACAACAACAGCTGCTACTGCTACTACTACTACTACTACTACTACTACTACTACAGTTTTGCAGGTATGCAACATAACCCTAAGGTAACAGGTTTGTATCATGTGATCATACACTCTAGTCGATTACATTGTGTGTTTTGTTGTTCCTTTCCGTTTTTTTATTTTGCGTCATTTCTCGTACCATGCCATGTTACTTGATTGACTGATATACTGGCATATGTAGACATATTTGTCAGCGTGTGTGTGCATGCAAACCTGCCGAAAGGGTTGTTAGTTACATAGTTCAGCGCAAAGACAGCCGAGCAAATACATGAATAGGTACAGAAAGACTGCACAAAAAGGGACACATCAGCAGATGCCGACACTATCCGCAAAACAAAAAGCATATAATAGCTACAGAAATCGGAAGCGTCAACGAAACCACCGCCAAGAGATTCTAGTATCCAAAAGACAGACGAGAAGTGAATGAGCTGGTACATCAAAATCTCCACGCACAGACGCACGCATCACACATGCATGCATGTGTAATCATATGTACATATGTGTTTGGTCGCCTGTTGATTGTTTCATATTGTTTGTGTGCTGAGTCGAGATGTTTGTCTACAGGTGTGTTTTTTACTAACCTATGAAGGCATGTACGTATGCATGTATGTATGTATGTATGTATGTATGCAGCCAGGTAGTTCTGTATGCAGCGTATGCATGTATGTGTGTATACGTGTCAATACATATGTAAATATAGAACATATTTGAGTACGTGTATGTATACACATTTGTATACGTATGTGCCGGTGTATGCATACATATACATATATATATATATTCTTTATTTATATAGAGGGAGAGAGAGAAGCCCTAAACCCTAAATCCTAAACCTCAAACCTTAAACCCTAAACCCTTAACCTTGAACCCTAAACCCCAAACTCCAAAACAGCCCAGAGTTGCTGCAACCGCTTCGCACCGTCGCCCGGCTCAGACCCGACGAGCTGGTAGGGAGGAGGCCAAGAGGCCGGGCCGTAGAGCCTTATCAAAGAGATCAGGGTTTCGGGTTTAGGGTTTAAGGCTTTATGGTTTTGGGGTGTAGGGTTTCGGGTTTCGGTTTTAGGGTTCAGGGTTCAGGGTTCAGGCTTAGGGTTATTATGATTTTAGAGTTTTAGAAGACTCAATCATAGTATTGCTATGCCTTAGGACCCGTAGGATTCATGATTGCAGTTGTAGTACCAACACCCGACATCCTTCAACAGATCCCTTGCTATTATTAAAGGGTGAATATCGCGATTTTCGGGGGCATTACAAGGCAGGCTACAAGGGTTGCTATGGGTCTAAGTTACGATACTTAAAGGATCATGGGACTTAGTAAGTAGGGTTATAACTAAGGTAACTATACTTATAACCCGCAATTAGGGGACTTATAACCTTACTTACTAAGTCCCATGATCCTCTAAGTAGGGTTTGGGGTACAGGGTTCGGAGGCTTCGGGTGTGGGGTTAGAGGCTCCGGGGTTTAGGGTTTAGGGTTTAGGGCCTAGGATTTAGCTTGGGAGAACGGGATACCCTGACCTGAGCTCTAAAAGCCTCCGCGAAACTCTAAACCCTATAGACCTCATCTGGTATTCTGTAGGGCTTATTTCGGGTCAGGTCATGGATTTCGGGTTTAGGGAGCCGAGATTTCTGCTTCAGGGTCTCAGGCACGCGACCTTATGCCGCCTCCGCCAGTTGATGGTTACAGCCGCGGAGAAAGCACAGGTTCAGGGTTTAGGGTTCAGGGTTTAGGGTTTAGGGTTCAGGATTCGGGCCTGAGGTTCAGCGTTTAGTGTTGGAGGTTTGGGAGTCCGTTCCCATCGGCCATCTCAATCGTACGTTGAAACAAGAATGCCACTTTCCAAGTCAAAGCGATCGAGTCATGTCCCCAGCTTTGCTATAGCATTCTCATGTCATAGTATAGGATGCTGAAGAGGTAATTAACCTCAATCATTCGGGGTGTCGGGGTATCAGGTTTGGGGGGTTTTGGGTTTGGAGCTCTCAGGGATTAGATTTTAAAGTAGTGCGAATAGTAACCCCCGCCCATAGAGTCCTTATAGTAGCCCTTATAGTATCGACCCTTGTAGGATCCTGTCAAGAACCCTTTAAAAGGAACCCACCCTAAACCCTAAACCCTAAAGAACCCTTTAAAAGGACCCCTGCAGTGTTTGGGCTTGATGCGCCAAAGTCAGAGCTTGACTGCCGGAAGTTTTGGATTCCCGCGTTCTTTAACTTTAGGGTTTTAGGGTTTGGGGTTTTAGGGTTTAGTAGGGCTTTAGGGTTTAGGCTTTCAGGGTTCAGGGTCTTCCAATCGCCGGCAGCAATTCAGCGTTTTGATCTGTTTAGCTGTTGTGTGGGGCTCCGGGTGCTGGGCTTCAGGGTCTGCCTATAGTCTCCATTGTAGTTCCTTTTCTTGTTTTAACCAATTTTATGTTAAGGATCCCAAAAGGTAACCCCAAAAAGGAACTACATTGGAGACTATAGGTGAGCTTTGGGGGTGCTGGGTATCCTTTCCCGGTGTTAGCATTCCGCCGCTGTCAGGCGCAGTATGTACCCCCCCAGAGAACCCAATACCCCTTAATTAAGGAATATACCTTAAATCATAATATTAAGGCCCCTATAATTTAAGGTATATTCCTGAATTAAGGTGTATTGGGTTCTCTGGGCCTGTGATGGATACAAACCCGAACCATTATCGCTGGAAGTTGTTTTGTCATAGTCGTACTGCCCAATTCGGCATTGCTGTTTCTAAGGTTTGCTGCTACCATGCCTCCTCCTCCTCCTCCTCACACTCAGAAACATGACCTTACGGTTGGGATTTGTGTAGCCCTTCAAATCTTGACCGCAAAGATGCAATGTTTTTTCATCCGTCCGTTTGGCACAGGGCCTGTATGCACCGACATGTTGCTTTGTGATGCTGGAAAGGTGCTAAATCTGCCGATCCCTTGGTGCATGAAGGAGTAGTGTATGGTTCTGCGAAATGATACAGCTCGACGCATCGGTAAATGCTTCGAGGGAGGGGTACTTGCCACCGGAGATGCTGCAGCCTTCTCGGCTCCTCTTGTTTCTGCAAGTAGTCATGGTGCTTAGAACCAGCGTTTATGTGCAGCATGGTGCTTTGCCATGACTCCTGAGAATGAGAGGCTGGTTTCTGTATTTTTGGGAAGCAGCGCGGCCGCATGGCCGCACAAGGCGGATGTTGAGGCCCTGTCCAGTGTGAAGACCTTCGTGTATGACCTGCCAGCGCGCTTTCACACAGAAACTCTGAGAGCTCTGAAAATGCAAGCTGCTGCACAAGGCTCAGACTGTGATTTTGGTCTGACCTTGTGCACCTCGCACTGGACGAGGAGTTTCACGCACAAGCATATCTACGCGTCAGAAGTTGTGTTTCTACAGAAACTGCTCCGGGCAGTTCCACTAACTGCAGATCCCTCGGAGGCAGACCTCTTCGTTGTGCCATGGCTCGTGAGGTCGCACTGTGCAGTCCGAGAGGTGTGGGACAGATGCGTCTTGTCAGGGGATTGAGCGAATGTAGGTTAGAAGACGGATGCTTCACAGCTTGAAGCAGTTCAACCCACTTCTTTAGAAAGGTCCCTGTATCCCAGGATCAGGCACAACCTAAACCATGAAGCCTAACCCCAAAGCTCTAAACCGCAAACCCTAAACCCCTAATGCCCTGTACCTTAAACCCTAAACCGAAGAACAGGCATCATCACCGAGCTAGCTGGTCTGCTCTGGCACTACCTGCCTCACTTTAACGAGTCCACGCGTGGAAGACACAGGGTGGAAACACATTTGCAAACGATGTCGCTAATACGGTCAAACCCTACGAAATAGTAGGTTGTGACCTCTTCGTTTTAAGGCAGAACCCTTAAAACGGTAGGGTTTTGGGATCCCCAGGTAGGGTTTATAGGTCTTATAGAACTGTAGAGTTGGTTTGCCATAGCACTCTACAAACCCTCTCTGAGCCCCTGTAAGAACCTGTACTATCCTTGTACCTCGAACCCGAACCCCTAAGCCCTAAACTCAAGAACCCCAGGACATCTTTTCTTTGCGACGGGCGGCCCACCGAACCTCCCGATGGATGTGCAGGCTCAGCCTCTTCAGGTGCGGCGCGGAAGCCCTGAGGGTTAAGGGTTCTAGGGTTTAGGGTCTGGGGTTTAGGGTTTAGGGTTTAGGGTTTAGGGTTTAGGGTTTAGGTTTAGGGTCTGGGGTGGAGCGTTTAAGCTTTATGGTTTGTAGCCCTAAGCCCTATACACCCTAAACCCTGAATCGTAAGGGGTTGTTGAGGCTCATGGTTTCGACAAACTGTTGGAACCAGTCAGGATCTCAACGCAAGGATCCTAGGAATCCTAGACTCTAAACCCCCAACGGGAACTAAATCGTAAACCCCCGAACCACACCTAAAGCATAATTTAAACCCTAAGAAAACCCACCTCCACTCCCCACAGCACGCGTTTAGCCGACTTTGAAGACTCCGGCTTACGAGCCCTTATGGATCCCTGTCGGGAACCCTTTTTTAAAACCCCGATAGACCTCGTTTTAAGAAGGCTTGTAGGCCCCTTTCATAAACCCTACACCCTAAACCCTAAGCAGACTTACAGACCCCTGATTGTGACAACCCTTGCAGGTCACTCTTGGTCCGGACTATTTACCACCAGGCCGGCCCCACTTCGTGTCCGGACGGATTCTGGCGCCCTATCGCTGCGATAGTCAAGTTGATGCATTCTTGTGGTTGGGCTTCAGGGCTTATAGGAGCTTGTTTGGGATGGGGGCTTAGTAAGGGTTTATAGGGGCTTCTGGGGATTAGGGTTGCAATTTAGGCTCCGGAGCTTCTTTTGGGATCTTTTTTTTGAGGGGCTTCTTGGGATTAGGTTTAGGATTTAGGGTCTTTGTGGGATGAGGGTTTAAGGTTATAGGGGCTCCTTGGGATGATTATAGCATTGCTCAAGATCAGAAGCTTTTTGTCTTGTCAACAGACCTTTCACTTTATTATATTTTGAACGCTTCGCGTCGCCCGCCTCGACCCGGCTGCACACATATGCGCTGAATCGGCCGGGGCCGAGGCGAACGCATCAGTTAAAGACCGTGGGCTTGCGGCTCATCCACGGCTGCCGCTCTCAGCCAGTGCAGTTGGGACGGGCAGTAAAACAAGAAAGGTGGAAAGCAATGGCGGAAAAAACGGAAGCAAGAACGGCGGGAAGCGGGGCGGGGGTCGGGGGGGCAGGGGGCGGGGTGGGGCGGCAGGCAGGCGGTGGGTGGGACTCCTCCCTACAGAAACCGCAAGTCTATTAGAGGAGGCGAGATTTCACCGCAGGATCTTGGGGCTCATTTGTGGGTTCACAGAGACGACCCCGCCCCAAAGGTGGAGGTCACTGGAGAGGTGATTAAGAGGTGGGGAATAGATGGAATCCTAATGGGCACCTCTAACCACTTCGGCCGAAAATTGATTTCTTTTTCATTGACTCCTCAGCCGAGGTGCCATATCTGAGCAATGACCCCTTCCTTCAACCAGGAGCCTGGCAATCCTGGAAGAAGATGGGGATGCGGAAGGATCCCCGCACCCCAATCGTGGTCCCCGGGTCATTGGCATAAGGACGTCTAAACATTATGAGATCCTACTCGCGCCCTACAACCAGACTCTGTAATGGAACTCCCACAGAAACCTGTAAACCCCATGGTGTCCCTACCAAAACCTCCATCAGCGCAGCCTGCGCTCCAACCCTAAGAAGCAGTAGCAACCTCCAGAAGCCCGAACGTCCTGAAGACTTTGGATTTAGGGTTTAGGGTTTGTAAGGTTTAGGGTTCTAGGTTTGGGGTTTAAGGTTTAGGGTTTAGGGTTTAAGGTTTAGGGTTGAGGGTTTAGGGTACAAGCACCAATGAAGCGCAGCGCCCTGCGCTTCAGAGGACGTGTGGGTATGCTTGGCTTTCTCGCTTCAGAACATCGCGCGACACGTGCTACTTGCACTGAATTTAGCCAAACCCGAAACCCTAAGCCCTAAACCGTTTAGGGTTCAGGGCTTTTGGTTTTGGCCTTGGGAGACCTGAATACTTAAACTCCAAGCTCTCTGTTCGGTTTTCGGATTAGTGGTTCAAGTCGAGTGTTTGGAAGTCCTGTCGCACTGTGTTGAGCTGCCCACTGGTACTTGTGGTTTGTTTGGAGGCCCTCCCATAAAAGGGGACTAGACGGCCAACCATCAGATCTTTTCTGGGGGATTGCTGTGTCACACTTTAGGGTGTAGGGTTGAGGGTATTTCAACAAAGCTACCACCCTAGAAGAACACCTGAGGGCCCACAAGGTCGGGTAAACCCTAAACCCTAAACCCTAAACCCCTAAACCCTAAACCCTAAACCCTTAACCCTAAACCCTAAACCCTAAACCCTAAACCCTAAACGGTGAGGAAGATGCCAGAATCACACAGAGACACGAGACTTTAAGACACAGAAAGCTGCAGAATTGAAGCCTTGGCTCTTGAACTCTGGGCCGAGGATTCAATTTCAGGGTTTAGGGTTTAGGATACTGTTTCTGCCCTTAAACCCTAAACCCTAAAGCCTATACCCTAAAGCCTAAACCCTAAACCCTACAACCCTAAACCCTAAACCCTAAAACCCTAAAACCCTGAACCCTAAACTACTGAGGCTACTGGCTTCCTTCAAAGCTGCCAGCGAAGGCAATGGTACTCTGCCATGGCCTGGCCCGATCCGAATCATCGGGCCCTGGGTTGCCAAACGTCCTCGATCCCGTCGATAGTGAAGCGCGATGTAGAAAGTTGCTGCAAAGAAGCCCTAGACCCGAAACCCCAAACTGACAAGGAAGCCTATTGTGGAGGATTCGCCACACGCGAGAGATTAAGGAACCAGATTTGCGCCAAGAAGGGCCTTACACGTCAGCATAAACGCTTGGGGCTTGGAGTTGGGTTAGCCAACATATCCCTAAACCCTAAACCCTAAACCCTAAACCCTAAACCCCTATAGGAAATGACAAGCCCAGAACCCGACATCCTGCGGAGCCAGACGGCCCGGTGTTGCATGGACGATGTGTTCGAACGCTTTACAAACCAATTGGGGTGGTCAGAGACATCAGGAAGACGTTTAATCAAGCGAAGCCTGTCATACCAAACTCATCATGATCATACCTGGACCCCAAAAATATGTAGAATAATGCCCTTTCGTAGGTGTTGGGCCCTTAGTTTACCTACTTTGGGGGTTTATAGGTATATGTAATGATTACGTAGGGGCAAGGGAAAAGACCCTAGTGCTGCACATTCCGCAAGTACATATCGGGAGCCCTATGTCTCTGCTCTGCATATACATCTCTATTTGCCTTGTTTATGGCTCATAAACCTGTTTGCTAAGTCCCTGAGAAGGTTCAACAGGAAGATGACTGCCGTCGGCACTCCGACGGACGAGACAACCCCCCGCGAGCTGCTGAAGTTGTTGGCAAGATCACGATTCTGCGTTGTGCCACCGGCAGACACATCTAGCATTGGAAAACGGTTTTATGATGCGGTTCTGTCTGAGTGTATTCCGGTGGTTATTGCATTTCCGACAAAGTATGGACTGGGAACATCCTGGTGGACTTTCGACGGTACTCCAGTGGAATGGAGTTTGCCCTTCGCGCATCAAGGCTTGGATTACTCGAAGCTTGCCATTGAAATACCCGTGGAAGAGGTGCGACAGGGAAATGCCGTAGCATACCTCGCTGGCATTTCGGAGGCTGTCGTTGCGAAACGGCTAGCATACCTTCAGGCGGTCCGCAATCACTTAGTCTTTGATTACAGTGGGGAAACCATAGACGCTTTCTCTGTGGCGGTACGCCAGCTGCTGTCTCTGCTGCCCACTGCAAGGGCAGCTTGTTTTAGTCAGCAAGCTTTTTGACCCTTGTGTGGTGCTGATGCCAAATACAGCAGCTAGTTTACGTTCACACATTCCCAAATGCTAGACTTCACATGCAACCCCGAACGCTACATCACCAGCCCCCCAAAGTTTCCCCTGCCCCCCACCTCTTCCCCGGACACTGGACAGCAAGGCAGCGCCGGTGAGATGTTTGGACCTCCCGAGGCTTGACGACAGCCCTTGGAGCAGCGAGGAGCCGCCGCAACGGTTTGGGTTTAGGGTTTATAGCGCTTATAGGGTTTAGAGTTCATGGTTGTTGGTGGCTTCTTGCTCTGTGGATCTCTTGGGTAGTATTAATTCCTTGTCATGTTTGAATGGTTTAGTTCTAATGAAGTATGTGCTGATTTTAGACATGGCAGGATACTGGGTGCACATGGTGTCTTGCAGGGTTTACCTAAGACCTCACAAGACACACTCTATAATCGCGTCCCAGGCCCCAAGCCCAAGCACAAAACCAGGGTTTAGGGTTCAGGGTCGCATCACGGGACTCATTGCCTATAGATATCGAGACATCGCAGCCCCGCACCCCAAAATCCCTTAAGCTTACACTCCCAATCCCGTTGCTTCAGTGTCGACCCCATACCCTAAACTAGGCCCCGCACCCTTTACCCTGAACCCTGAACCCTAAATTAGGCCTTAAACCGTATACCCGGAACCCTAAGCCTGAAGCCGATTTAGAAAAAAGTTCAAGATCTTACTGCGACCAGGTTAGATGTCGGACGTCGGTCCTGGGATGAGGCTTTAGGTTTAAGCCTTTATGGCTTGAAGGGTTCAGAAGTTGAGGGTTTTGGGATGCAGGGTTAGGGGTTCAAGGGTTCAGGGGTTTTGGTTCAAGGGTTTAGGGTTTAAGCTATTGAGATTTAGGGTTGAGGGTTTAAGGGTTCAAGGATTTAGGGCTTGGGGGTTTTGGATTTAAGGGTTAACGGTTCAAGGGCTCAGGGTATGTGGTTTAGGGGTTAAAGCTTGAAGGGTTCAGGGTAAACCCTCAACACTGAACCCTAACCCTAAACCCTGACCTCTGAACCCTAA